CCAGATCGCTGATGCTTCCCTTTCCTTGCACCGGGTGAATGCTGGAGGGAGAAATTCTCCCCTGGATAAAACACGGTAATGAGATGGGAACTGACAGCCTTGCTTTTCTCCCTCTCCACCTCAACACTCCCCTACCTGCCCCTCAAATCCCAATAAAGACAAGAAGGTTGGCGTCTGCCCAACTTTGCTGCCCATCTGTTCATGCTCAGCCCTGTTTTTCTCCCACCTAGAAACATATTCTCCTGAGCACAAAAATCCAGAGAGAAGAACACCCTCCATTCTGTTTAAAACACACTGAACAAAACTCGAGCCAAGCAGGCAGGGGTGGCGGGGAAGGAGAAGGAAGCACCTCTTGAAATGGGCCCAATGATTTATTTTCACTTTAATCATGAAAGCATAATTATAACCCTAACAAGAGTATAAAGGACCAAGAACATCTTCAGATGGCCAGAAACTCTGTGGCCCCCTTGATTGGCGTTGGCACGGTTGCTGTGATGCCATAAAATGTCCAGGCCCATTCCTATTGCTCAGGGTGGTCAGCCATAAAACCTGACAAAACTGTGGCTGCTGTAAGTGAAGGACAATCCGGCTGGGAAAACATTGATACAGGAAGTGCCAGCCTTACCTATAGGCAGGCACCCGAGAGACAGCCAGTAAGTGGGCAACAGCATGGAGGAAGGAGCTGAAAGGCCAAGGATAGGAAGCGGAGACTGCAATATGCATGTGTGTGTGTGTGTGGGGGGGGTGTTCAACCATACTGTAACCCCTGTCATATGGATGCTGTTAAGAAGTTAGCAAAAACGTCATTTCACATTGCAAAGAAGGACTATTGAAAAAGAAAATAATCAAATGTCATCCTCACTGCAGACAAAAGCCAGTTAGCAGGACATGGGAAGACAGCTCTTCGGCTCTTTCCAACCTCATCATGTTAGAGGACACCGAAAGCATGGCTCCTTCAAGGGACACCACTAAAAAGGAACTCATCCGATTTGGAACGGGTTAATGCTTAGGGATGAAACATTCAGTTCAAGATAAGGTACAAATGTCTTAAAGCTGAGCATATACCACTTAAGATATGCCCTGAATGGCACAGGATTGGCTTGCTTCAAGCCAAGAATGCCTACATGGTTTGTAGAACCAGCTTGTGCCAAGCCCAGGCCAGCCTGCATCAGAGAAGGGGGCAGCGAGCGAGACGCCTGTGAATTCCTGGGCAGAGTTTTTGTGGTTCTTTTCCACTTCTCCCCACGGAGCATTAACTTTCTTGTGGGAAGGTCCTGCATGAAATGATCCCTTGGGGGGATGATTTTATGGGGCAGACTGATCTGATTGCTACCCTGTACAAGCACAGAAGCCTCCAAGTTTAAGGGACAGCATATATTCCATACAGACAGCTAGGGGAGCTCCCCATGGATGGGACAGCATCAGATTTGGGTCTGG